GCGTGCATGCGAACAAGCGAATCCGCTTCTCCCTGTGATCCCGACAGCTGCCCCTTTCGACTGCGCTTGAGTAACATGGAGCCCATGCGAGATGACGAGGTGATGCCGAAACAGGAGAGCGACACGCGTTGTGGGACACCAATGGCTGCAAAAACCATAACCCATGCAAGATGTCGTGCACTTCATTTGCTAGAATTTACGGTTCGGAGTGCTATTCCGGAACGCTCATCCCGTGCATGGCATGGATTTGCCGGGGACCGCAACTTAGCACGAATACAGCTTCTGCAAGTGACTACCGGACAAAAACTTCCTCGTCGATGCCTCGTGCGTACACACGGTTGAGGCTCGGAGTTGTCATCCGAACGTAGGTAGGACCATGCGGCGCGCCCGTAAGAAAGTTGACAGCCTATACTGCAGGACTGCTGGACGCAGTTGTCATTTGTTGTTACAGCTTGTGAAGTATGAGAATTTGTTCCGGAGGTTACACGCGTTCCACAATCCCCCCTACCCCTAGCGTGGCGCCAGGCACGCATTGAGAGTCGATTGCCGTGTACTGGTGGAACTAAACAACCAGAACACCATGACCTCTCCGGGGGATGCAGAGGTCCCTGCCACTACTGAGCAGTCACCGTGTGCTGACGACCCATCTGCACCTGAAGGCGAACCAACACCATCAACAGAAGGTACTATCCCTAGTGATCATGATAGAATGGACGTGGAGGACCTTGGCCTCGATCTTTACAAAGTGGAACTCCCAGGCATTTACGAAGGAGTGCCAGAAGCCCCAGGGCTCCCAGACGAAGGTGGGTAGGACGTGCCAAACTATACCTTTACGTAGGTGTATATTGATATATGTGCTAGGTGTGTACACTATGGTAGGTTGGGTTAGAGTTTGCTATATCTACCCTTGTGTGCTTCATTTCTAGTCATTCTCGTTCGTTTCTCTCCTTGACATGGTGTCAGCTAGGTTAGGACCGATCGCTTCCGCTGCGCCTATCCGAGCCTGCCTACCCTAGGCCGCCCGTCACCACACTTTAGAGAGCCCTCCTGACGCCCCTTAGCGCCCCTCACATCGCGCTCTAGCAAGCCCCCCGTGGGCCCCTAGCGTCACCCCTCGAAACGCCCCCGCGGGCCCCTCATAACGACCTAGAACGCCCCCCCTCGTGGGCCCCTCGCATCACCTCAAAAAACGCCCTCGCGGGCGCTCGCGTCACCATTCGTAACGCCTGCAACGGCCCCTCGGGACGATTTAGAACGGCCCCCGTAGGTCGCGTTCCTCCCTCAGCGCGTCGCGCCCCTCCCTCAGCCCGTCGGGCCCCTCCCTCAACCAGTCGCGCCCCTCCCGGGGCGAATCTTGCCTAGGCCGCCCGTCCCCCCACCCACACCCCCCCCCCTTCCCCCCCCCCCCCCCCCCGTTTTCCCTTGCCTAGGCCGCCCGTACCCCCACCCCCCCTCCCTTCCCTTGCCTAGGCCGCAAGTTGCGCCCTTTGCCTAGGCCGACCGTCGCGGCCCGTGCCTAAGCTGCCATCACGCCCCTTGCCTAGCCCCCCCGCGCCCTGTTTTATTTTAAATTGATTGATTAAATAATAATAATAAAGAAACAAAAATACACTGCTGCCCTTGCCATTATTGCCTTCCCTCTATGCTTCGCCCGTGCCGCTCGCTGCAGCTGCTGCCGCCCGCTGCCACCTATGTCACCCGCTGCAGCTACTGCCGCTCCTGTCGCCTGCACTGCTTGCTACAGGTGCAGCCGCCAATGCCGCCCGCTGCAGCTGCTGCCATCCGTGCCGCCCGAGATAGCCTGCCACATGTGCCGGCCAAGCTAGCCTGCCGCCCCTGTCGCGCCTGCTGGACTGCTACGTGACGCCCCTGCTAAACTGCCGCACGTGCCGTCCCTGCTAGACTGCCGGCCGTGCCGGCCGTGCTGCCGCCCACTACCGCCTGCAAGACTACCGCCCGAGCAGCCCCTGCTGGACTGCCGCCCATGCCGCCCCTGTGAAACTGCCGCCCGTACCGCCCCTGCTAGCCTGCCGCCCATGCCGCCCCTGCTAGACTGCCGTCGTACCTCCCCTGCTAGCCTACTATGTCGACGTGGCAGCAGCAGCAGGTTTAACAGGAGCGACAGCAGTGGCCTCTGCACTGGGTCCCTCAGTAGCAGTGGGGTCCTATCAGACCCTACCAGTACGTGCTCCTGACTAGTCCGCGCCGCGTTTTTGTCTGCGAGTGTGCTTACTCTATTGAGCAATGCATTGGCCGCCTCCTTGAACTCTACCGCCAGCATTACGACCTCGACGCACCTGCCCAGGACTGCGCTTCACTGCTCCGCCAGGGCCACCAGGTGTTTACCACGTGTAACTTAAAGACCAAAGGTACTAGCTAAATATTTGGTCTTAGGGTCATCCAGCAGGTCGAGTCTCGGGTTATTCTTTTGAGGATGGATGTCCTAAGGGGATTAGTTCATGGTGTTGCCTTTGTTAGGCATGCAAAGGGGGTTGTTTTAGACAGAGGGGATGATCTAGAGCGAACATCATTGGGCAGGGCCGGACACCTTGGTGAGAGATGCGTTGGATCCAGACGGCAGCATATTCTTTGCTGTCGAAACACCACAGCTAGGGTAATTGGTCCAGTAGAAAATCACCTCGGATTGTTCCCTTGGTGCGGACCTTGGAGAGAGATGTGATGGATCGAGACGGCAGCATATTCCTTGTTGGCGAGACACCACAGCTAGGGTAATTGGTCCGGTAGCAAATCACCTCGGGTTATTCCCTTGGTGCAGACCTAGGTGAGAGATGCGTTGGATCCAGACGGCATCATATTCCTTGCTGGCAAGACACCACAGCTAGGGTAATTGGTCCAGTAACAAATCACATCGGGTTATTCCTTTGGTGCGGACCTTGGTGAGAGGTACGATGGGTCGAGACGGCAGCATATTCTCTCGAGTAGACAATATGCTGTCGAGCAGACCAATAGGAAGGGTCTAGGGGTGTTTTCCTCGGATAGGGTCCTCATCCAATAGGAAGAGGAACATGGTTGGATGCATAGCTAGGGTGAGTGGTTTGCACACAGACCTAGGATCATTGGAGAAAGTGTTGGGAGGCCGTTTTCCTTGGAAGCAGCCGAGGAAGCCGCCAAGTACTTTGTGTCATATTCATTACCAATTGGGATAGAGCCTATGGTGGAAGCTGCTAAGGAAAAGGGTTTGGCCAATAAGGAGTTAGAGGTGGATAAGATCTCCAAGCAGTTGGAAAAGCTGAGCATTCAGTTGGCCCAAATGCAGCAGGGAAGGGCTGTCGGGTTGCTTCCTAGGCTGGGCGGAGGCGGATTTAAGTGCTACCAATGCGGACAAAGAGGGGCACATGGCAACGGCCTGCACTCAAAAGGGGCGGACGGCAATGAACGTCATGCAGCAGGTCCTGGAAGAAAAGGCCCCTACTATAGTGGAGTTCCTCAATGGGGAAGAGGGGAAAGTGGATATGCTAGTAGGCCCCCGGAAGCGGCAGGTGGTGCGGGAGCCGGAAGGATGGGGAATCGATGAAGCGAGGGAAGAATTAAGGGGAATACTGGCTGAATTCGGTGGAGCTGAGGGAGCTGCTAAGGGGTCCCGATCAGGGCTTATTTTATCAGTGTAAATTACCCCGATACACTGATTATCAGGGTGAAAATTGTATGTCACACTGATGCCTCTGGGTAGTTTTTTTTTGGAGAATAAAATTTCCTTGATTTCAAAGGGTAATGTTTTAGGCCACACTGATGGTCCTGTGTAATGTTTACCTTAGCGAGTATTACCCTGAAAAGCGTATAAGGTCGCTTGACTGTACATGTTCCCCTTCCCCCCCTTCCACTCCTTCCGAAGCGAAGTGTGTTGATTTTCCCAGGCATCTGCAGAAATTGTGTGTACATAACAATTAGACAGCTAGGAGTAACGTTGTGAAGTGGCGTAGCGGTTAACACAGTTGACACAGTTCCTAAGGAGGATGAAGACTTGGGTTCAATTCCTTGTGTCGATGTTCTATTGATCTCGTTTTGTGTAGTTTGAAATAACATGTCCCATTTAAAACTGGCACTGTAGTACAATCAGGGTAAATAATTACCTACACTATAGGCTCAGGGTTTTTTTTTAGGCTCAGGGTTTTTTTTTTTAAATCAGCGGTTACACGGATGGTTAAAAGTAACCTCTATAACCTACACTGATTGTCGGGGTTTTCAAAAAAGCTACACTGATAATCAGAGTTCGGAATATAAATGAATAGGCCCTGGTCCCGATTCGTGCATAGGCCACGGGTATCCCCCCCTGCCCAATTCCTACAACGTAGTGGACCAGCTGAAACTCACTCCAGTAAGCGCCAGCTTCTAGAATTACATAAGCGACAGTGATAAGGTGAGGAAGGAGCTGTTGAATGCCCTGAAGCTGGCTGAGGATAAGGGGAAGGAGGATGGTGACAGCTGCTCCTGGGAAGACTAGGCAGGAGGACCCTCTTCCGAGCAACCTAGTCTTCTAGGTCCCTTAATGCATTGTCCACCTAGGCAAGCATAGGCTGACCGCGATTGTAGATTCTGGTGTATCCTAGACAGCTCTCTCGCACGTCATAGCCAGGAAGTTAGGGCTGCAACTCTATCTCCAGGACACCACAATAGAGTATGCCACCTCTAGCCGCTAGACGTCGAAGCCATGGGGAATTCTGCCTGACGTACGGGTTCGGGTGGGGAAGCCGACTCTCCCGATCGACATAGCGGTGACCGGAGGAAACACCTATGACATGCTTCTAGGCCAGGACTGGATCTATTCAGCTAATGCAGGTATCCTAACCAACAAGGGGCAAATAGTATACCGAGTTAATAACAAAGAGACGGACTCGGTTCCTATCACCACCGGACCAGTGGGCACGGGTAGTCGTCCCTCCTATGTGTCCCTCCCACCCCACACTCCCCGCAGGAAAGATCACGAAGAGAAGCTACTCCAACCCTGGTCCCAAATAGAAGAAGATGATTTCCAGCAGTAGATGGAGGAGAGGCGGCTCCTCTTGGCAGAAGAGGAGGGGCATATTCGGCTGACGGAACAGGAGGAGGCAGACTACTGGGCGTGGGTACGCGAGGAAGAAGAGATGGATCGGGAGGAACTGGAGGCATTGGAACTCAATGAGAGCGAGTTCTATGAGGAGCCCGAGGAAGGCGAGCTCCAGGGGGGACTTGAGGAAAGCGAATACTATGAGGAAACCAAGGAAGGGGAGGCTGGATATGATGGCAGCATATCTGAGCCCTGGGGTCCGGAAGAGGGGCGCTATTTTGAACTTGGAGTGCCGGAAATGGGCGCGCGGGCTGGGGAATTACATTGGAACTTGGGGTATGAGGAGGCCAGGAAGGCTGTGGAAGCAAAAGGGGATATAAAAAACCAATGGGAAGAGGATTCAATGATGGAAGTGGAGGATGGGGAGCTGATCTACGGGAAAAAGGGGCACCGGATTAGTCCGCACTACCTATTTGAGCTGTTCAACTACCCGGCAGCCGAACGATGGAGCTACATAGTTGCCACAAAGGGGGACGAGGGAAGGATAGTCCTTGGTAGTTATTACAGCATAAAAAAGGAAGCACCCAGGGTCGCTTGTCCTGCCTTCGAGAACCTACCGGTATCTCTCAACCATGAGTTGGAGGACGGGCAGCAGACAGACCTGAGGAAGCTGCTCGTCGAGTACCGGGAGATCTTTGCTACGGAAGCAGAGCCGCTAGGGACCCACCCCACCATCCACCATCATATCGCTACTAGGTCTGCCAAACCCATAGCCCAGAAGCTATTTCGTGCGTCACCCTCGGAGCGGGCTCGGATAGAGGAAGAAGTGGCGGCCCTGCTGGAACAGGGGGTGGTCCGATCCTCCAACAGCCCCTGGTCCTCCCCGTGCATTGTCATCCCAAAGAAGGACTTCGGTGATCGAGTGGTGATCGACTACCGACCTCTCAACGCGGTGACAGAGGCAGCATACCAGTTTCCCATGCCAAGGATAGACGACATCTTTGACCGAATGATGGGGTCGCTGTACTTCTTCGTCCTCGACATCAAGTCCGCTTACTAGACCATCCGGGTGGTCGAGGAGGATATCCCTAAGACAACGTTCGTCACATCCTCCTGTCAATATGAGTATGTAAGGATGCCTTTCGGTCTGAAAAATGGCCCTACTACTTTCCAACGTCTCATGACCACCACCTTCCGCACTCACCGCCCCTGCCACTTTTCAACGTCTCATGACCACCACCTTCCGCACTCACCTTAACGCTATCCGCTATCTCGACGATATCATAGTGTTTTCCAACAGTTGGGAGGAGCAACCGGAGCATATGAGGGAAGCTTTCGATCGGGTGACAGAGGCAGCATGCCAGTTTCCCATGCCAAGGATAGACGATATACTTGACCGAATGACGGGGTCGCTGTACTTCTTCGTCCTCGACGTCAAGTCCGCTTACCACACCATCCGGGTAGCCGAGAAGGATATTCCTAGTTCGTCACATTCTCCGGTCAATATGAATATGTAAGGATGCCTTTCGGTCTAAAAAATGCCCTTGCCTCTTTCCAACGTCTCATGACCACCACCTTCCGCACTCACCTTAATGCTATCCCCTATCTCGACGATATCATAGTGTTTTCCAACATTTGGGAGGAGCATCTGGAGCATCTGAGGGATGCTTTCGATCGGGTGAAGGCCAACCAACTGCTCTTAAAGCCCAACAAGTGCGAGCTGCAGTTCTACTCCACGATCTACCTGGGGCACATCGTGACTCGGGATGGGGTGAAGCCGGATGGGGGAAAGGTGGAGGCGATAAGCAACATGGCGGCGCCGATGGACCAGAGGGGTGTTCGGGAGTTCCTGGAGTGCACCAGCTACTACCGAAGGTTCATCAAGGCGTATGCGAAGGTGGCGCATCCCCTCACGCAGCTGCTGCACAATGACCATCCGTTTGAGTGGTTGGACAAATGCGAGAAGGCGTTCAATGCCCTCAAATTGGCTCTCATCTCCCCACCCATCCTCACATTCCCAGATTTTTCTGAACCCTTCATCCTCCAGACGGATTTCTCTGCCACGGCTTTGGGGGCCATCCTAGCTCAAATGGATGGGAAGGGAGCGGAACGAGTGGTGGCGTACGCCATCCGTACAACAAGGGGAGCGGAGCGGAACCTGTCCTCCACCCACGGGGAATGTTTGGCGGTGGTGTGGGCCATCAAGTGTCAGAATAACAGGCATAACGAGGAGCCATAGCTAGGGTTTACCTAGCTAGGCAAGAGAGAAATGAGCAAAGGGGGATGTTCACTAGCAAGCAGGAGGATACATATAGGAAACCCTAAGGGGTCGTACTCACTATAGAGTACCCCACTGCAGGCTAGACAAACTACATTCTGACACACCCCCATAGTCAAAGTGGGGTATAATCAGCAGAGCAAGCAGTCATAGAGCAGGTTCACAAGTGCAAGCAAAGCTAGAGGCATTCACAAAGGGCAAGTGAGGAGGAGGAGGCGGGACTGTAAGAGGAGAGAAGATAGGAGGCGACGGCTGAAGCTGCAGACACACGGGCAACAGGAGCGGCTGGCACAGTGGCTACCGGGACAGCGCCCCGGACTACTGGAGTAACTGGCTCGGCGGCTACGAGGAGCGGCAGGAGCAACGGACCCACGGGCGACAGGCGCAGCAGGCTCTCTGGGCTACCTCGACAGCGCCCCGGACTACAGGTGCTGCGGACGACAAGACGGCAGCCTCCGCTCAACCTCCCCCAACTGTCCCACCCCCCTTTCACACACCCCTTGCTGCACCCCTAGCTCCACTCCCACGTCACCCCCCTAGCACCGCTCCTTCGGCTCCCACACACCCACCCCCCTCAGCGACAGCTGCAGCAGTGGGAGACGGAGGAGGAGGAGGAGTAGGGGACTGCGCACACACCCGGCACCCCCATAACCGCCACCCCCACACTCGCCACCCCCAAACCCTAAAACGGGTGGCACGGGGCAGGAGCACGGGGGACGGCTCGGGGGACGGCGCGGGGCCCCCAGGGCGCCACGACGGGGCAGCGGGGGGCCGCGCGCGGCTCCCCAGGGCGCCGCGACGGGGCAGCAGGGGGTCGCGCGCGGCTCCCCAGGGCGGCGCGACGGGGTTGCGGGGCGACGCGACCGTCGACGGGGCAGCGGGGGGTCACGCGCGGCTCCCCAGGGCAGCGCGACGGGGTTGCGGGGCGACGCGACCGTCGACGGGGCAGCGGGGGGTCGCGCGCGGCTCCCCAGGGCAGCGCGACGGGGTTGCGGGGCGACGCGACCGTCGACAGGGGGGGGACGCGCGGGTCCCCGGGGTGACGCGCGAAGAAAGAAGCCGCCACGCGCCTCGGGGCGCACGGCGGGCAGAAAACCGCCATGCGCCCTGAGCGCGTGGCGGGAAGAAAAAAAGCGTCGCGCGCCACGGGGCGCGCGACAGACAGGAAAGCAGCGGAAGCACGTGGGGCCCACAGGCCAAGAGCGTAACAGCTCTGATTCCATGTCAGAATAACAGGCATAACGAGGAGCCATAGCTAGGGTTTACTTAGCTAGGCAAGAGAGAAATGAGCAAAGGGGGATGTTCACTAGCAAGCAGGAGGATACATATAGGAAACCCTAAGGGGTCGTACTCAGTACAGAGTACCCCACTGCAGGCTAGACAAACTACATTCTGACATCAAGCACTTCCGTCCCTACCTCTATGAGAGCCGGTTCCTGCTGCAAACCGATCACCAAGCCCTCCAATGGCTTATGACGGCTAAAGACTTGACGGGAAAATTGGCTAGGAGGAGTCTGCTCCTCCAAGAATATGATTTCACCATCTCTTACCGGCCCGAGGAGACGCACCGGAATGTAGATGCACTTAGCCGCATGCATCAGGGGTTGCAGTCTGGGGGGGGGGGGGCATTCTCAAATGCACACTCACCTCCCCCATCCCCCACCACACGACCCATCCCCATGTTCACAAATCTCTTCCCACCATCACCACCACCGCCACCAGAGGGTGCAGGGAGCAGCACTTCGACTGAAGGGGAAGGGGCAGAAGGGGAAAATGGTGATGAGGAGGAAGGAGGAGGAGCAGATACCCGGGAGCCGGAGGAGATGAGTAGCAACACGGAGACACAAGAAGGGGAAGAGGAAGGGGAAGTCGGACAAGGCGGGTCCGAGGAGGGATCCAAGGAAGGAGATGATGGGAAGGAAGGGTCTGAGGAAGAAGGTGAGGATGAGGAGGAAGAGGAGGAGGAGAAGGAGGAGGAGGAAGAGGAGGAGGAGGAGGAGTGTTATAGTCACAATAGGCTTGAATGTGCCTAAAACGAAAGATAGAGAGCACAGGCGGATTTCTGCACAGCGGCTTCAAACGTTGATAGCGTTCTGCTCACAGCTGCAAATGACTTGATTCAAATTGGATCTGGAGCGTCTTCACGTCGTCTACAATTAGCAATTTAGATTGCACGATTTTATGAAGAATTGACGACACAGCGTCGGTTTGAACGAACGGTACTATGGCAGCCACTATAGTCTTAGAACACAAGATAGGAAGAGTTACGAGTTGGGAATGACTCCCAGCTCCTACAAACCCCAAGAGCCGAGGTACAGTGATGTGGAACAGTGCCACACTGTCCCCAACCACGAAGGGTCTCGAAACTACCCTTCACTAGGGCCTACACCAAGTGAAATGTTACACTACACAAAGTAATGTAACTATCTTCAATATCTTGAGGTGTACCCTTTTGGCAAGCTTCGAAATCACTTGAGGCTTGACACCAAGGCTCGGGCTCTTCATCACAAACTCATCCTTGAGTTCTTGATGGGTCTGCTGCACACACCTGCGACACGCCGAACGTTCGACACAGGACAAAATAGAAACCGCGCACGACAAAATAGAAACCGCGCGCGAGACACAAACGACCGCGTAACACGCGTCTAGCGATAACTCGCTGTTGACTCGACACACACACTCGACATCATGAATCAACATTCAGACACAATTATAAGCATGAAATATATATTATCCCATGCCCTCATACCATTCCATACACACACACATTCACGCACACGGACAACAAGCCGAGTGCAAACCGTAGGGTTGCACCAACAAACTCCCCCTCGGATTGTTGGCCTTAGGATATGTTGCTCTCTCAGTTCAGAGCCATCCCAGCCAGCTTGCAACACTTCCAATGCTGCTGCTCCACCAGCCTCTTGGTCATCATGTCAGCCGGCTGCCCCGTGGTCTTCACGTAGCGCAACTCAACTTCACCCGCGGTTACCATGCTCCTCGTCCAATGCCACTTCACCCTCATGTGCTTCGTGAGTCCATGCAACACAGGGTTCTTAGCAAGAGCAATGACACCCTGGCTGTCACAGTACAGTGGGGTAGGTCCTTGCTGCTCCTCCCCCAATTCAGCCAACAAACGCCGCTGCCACACAATCTCCCGTACGGCACGGAAGAGTGCCATGTACTCGGACTCCACCGAGCTCAAAGCTTGGTCAACCTGCTTCTTGCTCTCCCAAGCAGTTGGGCCTCCACCAACACAGCATATGAAGCCTCCCACACTTGTCATGTCCTCTGGTTCTGATGCATATGAAGCATCCGAGTAGGCGGTGAGGAACAAACGCCCGGGTTCAACACCATCCGCGCCCTTTTGGCGCCTTTGTGCCGCCGCCGAGTATTGCAGCCCAACGGTCGGTGTTTGGCCAAGATACTTGGCCACCCTCATTCCAGCTGCTACCTGCTCCTCATTAGGGCATTGCACAACCCTAGCCAGCTGCCCGGTAGCAAACGCGACGTCCGGTCGGGTGTTTACCGCCGCATACATGAGGCTGCCCACCAACGAGTGAAATCGGCGCCTCTCCTCTTCACCAACGCTCTCCTCCTCTGGTCCCTTCACACACTTGAACCCAGAGGGAAAGGGTGTAGCCACATGGCCTTCACTCTGCCCAAAGTTGGCAGCCAATGCCTCCAGGTACTTTCGTTGATGCACCCGCATGCACCGCTTCTCCACATCTCGTTCGATGTGGAGCCCAAGGTAGAAGCTCACGTCACCAAGGGCCTTGCACTTGAACTTGTCTTGAAGCTTCAGCATCACCTCCTTCACAAGGTCAGAAGAGGGTGAGAAAATGAGGATGTCATCCACATAAACCACCATGAAACTCCTCTGCTCCCCCTCGCCAAGCATGAACAAGGAGTGATCGGCCGTTGAGGGAGTGAAGCCGATCCCCTCCAACACTTCGCGCAGCTTCATGTACCATTGCCTAGGGGCCTGCTTCAGCCCATAGAGGGCCTTCTTCAGCTTCCACACTCTGCCACTACCATCATCAAACCCCTCTGGCTGCGCCATAAAAATCTCCTCCTCAAGGATGCCGTTAAGGAATGCCGTTACGATGTCCATTTGCTTTACTACCCATCCTTTGATGGCGGCTCCCGCGAATAGGGTTCGCAGCGTCGTCGGCTTCACCACAGGGGCAAACAGCTCCTTGAAGTCCACCTTCTTCTTCTGCTGGTACCCCTTGGCTACAAGCCTAGACTTGTAGCGCTCGATCTTGCCGTCGGCATCCGACTTGATTTTGAAGAGCCACTTGGACGTTATCGCCGTACGCCCCTCCGGTAGCTCCACCAATTCAAACGTGTCATTCTCCTCGATGCTCTTCAGCTCACTCTCCATGGCCTTCTTCCACTCCTCAGCATCACTACTCTCCAAAGCCTCCTTGAGAGTTGCTGGTTCTCCCGGCATCTCCACCGGAGAGAAGAACGCGAAGGCACACTCCTCGTAGTCACTCTCCTCGTCGTCTCCGACCATCATTGCCGCTCCGGCCAGGGCTGTCTTGCCCTGCTTTCCCGGCGCATCATAGGTCAGCCTATTAGGGGGTTGAACTCTCCTCTTCCCCATTCCTTCCTCCTCAGCTGCAGGGACTTGAAGGCCTTGGCGTTGCTGCGGTGTGGCTCGAATCCGTGGAGCACTCGTAGTACGGGAAGGGAGTGACGGTGCACGCTCGCTCACTTGCTGCACCTCCTCCTCTTCTTCCTCTGCATCATTGGCCTCCTCTCCCCCATTCACAAGGGAGGATTGCCTTGTGGTTGTGCTGCCGCTGCTCAGCTCCAAAGGCAGCTCCACATGCTCCAAACCGGAACTCTTCACCTCCCCAAACCGCACGCCTATCTTCGCCTCATTCTCCGCCTTCCAATCCTTGTACATGAAGTTCTCCATGAACTTGCAGTCCCTGCTCACCAAGAACTTCTTGGTGAATGGGTCCCAAAGAAGCCATCCCTTGCTGTTTTGAGCCATGCCCAAGTGCACGGCCCACACCGCCTTGGCACCAAGCTTGTTGTGCCGAAGATGCTTAGGCACGAGCGCCATGCACATGCACCCGAACACCCGAAGCATATCCACCTTTGGCTTCCTTCCTAGCCACTCCACATAGGGCACCCATTTGTCTGCTCCCACATGAGTCAAGGCTCTGTTCTTGGCCACACACGCGCTCCGCACCGCATCAGGCCAGAAATAGTCGGGTAGCACGGCTTCAATGAGCAACCCGCGTGCCGCCTCCGTGATTGTGCGGTTCGCTCGCTCGGCGATGCCGTTCATTGCAGGGGAGTATGGCATGGTGAGGGAGTGCCAAATACCATTCTTCTTCAGCCACAACCCAAACTCCTTGCTCAGGAACTCTCCCCCTCGATCGGTGCGGATTGACTTGACTAGACGGTCTTGTTGCCGCTCCACCATCGGGAACCAATCCGTCTTCAACGTTTCAGCCACGTCGCTCTTCTTGGCCAGCACGTACACCCAAGTCATGCGGGTGTAGACGTCGACAATGGTGAGAAAATACTCAGCTCCAGCAGCTCCAAGCTTCAGGGGGCCCACCACGTCCATCACCACCTCATCAAGCGGTGCCTTTGCCGTTGCCTCCGAACTAGGGAACGGAAACCGGGTGAACTTGGCTTGAATGCACGTCGGGCAGCCAAGCACCTCATCGGGCTCCCCCTTCACACGTATGCCAGCAACCATCTCATTCTTCACTAGCTGCTGCAAGATGGGCAGGGCCACATGCCCCATGCGCCGATGCAAGGTGAGCCAATCACACTCCCCCGTAGCCGAAGTTGGATTGGAGAATGCCGCGCTCGCAATAGCGCCCCACATACTCTCTCCGTAGTCCTCCTCCGCTGCTGCCTCTGGGTTCTCCTCACCCTTTTGCTGCTCCTTGGTTGCTGCACCACTCTCCTTAGGTTCACTGAACTTGCTGGTCCCTCCAGGTTTGCTCTTCTTGAGCTCATTCTCCTTAGCGCGACCGTTCGCGCCATCGTCGCTACCGACCGCTCCATCCTTGGTGCTGATGCTTGCTGCCACTTGCCTCTCCTTAGGCATAGGGACCACTGGGATCTGCCACATCTCGTTGTAGACATCCCTGTCCTCATGAAGGTCCCAAAGAATTCGATCGCCAAGCCTTGCGGTGTAGGTCTTGGCTCCCTTCGAGTTCGTGTCCATGCCGGCCTTTGCCAACCGCCGCACGGAAATCAGGTTTGCAGCAAGGCTGGGCACCCAAAGCACGTTCTTGAGGCCCACCATCTTCCCATCAGCACCCTTGAACATGGCCTTGCCCATGCCTTTCACCTCTGCTCGCTGCCCCAAAGCCGATGTGACATGCTTCACCGGTGACGGCTCGAGTTCGGTGAGCAAGTCCGGGCGAGGTGTCATGCTATAGGTAGCGCCACTATCAATCACCCAATAGTCCAGGGGGTGTAGGGTCACCTTCCCCACAGCTGCTGGCTCCTCAAAGCCTTCATCCTTCTCTGGACCAGCCGGTACTTGCGTCGACACGAAGTAGAATAGACCCGGGTATCGATCGTCGCTCGGGTCCTTGTCGTTGTCTCCGCTCTTCATGTTTGCAGCTCCGCCACCGCGACCGCCACGGCCTCCACGGCCTCGTCCTCTCCCTCCTCCTGCTCCTCTACCCTCTTGGCCTTGAGCAGGGGTCCAACCATCAGGGAGTTTGTAGCAGTCGCGCCACATGTGTCCGCTCTTGTGGCAATAGTGACACTCGCCGTCGAATCGGCCGCGACCGCGTCCGTAGCTCTTATCGTCGCTGCCGTAACCGCCACTCCTGCGGCCTCCGCCGAAGTTGCTGCCACCAAATCTTCCTCCCCCTCGTCCTCTGCCTCTTCCTCGACCATATCCACGGCCGATGCTCGCTGCCCCAGCGCCATCCGCACTCGCCAACTCACGGCGGCGGAAATCCTCTTGAAGGATAGCTCGCTTCACGTCTTCAAGCGAGAGGCGGGGCAAGTCGCGATTAAGGTTGATGATGAGCGAGGACCA